AACATGCGAGCTTAAAGGCCATGAAGGTAAAGTAATATTAAAATTCATTTATTAGTGAAAACTACTTCCTCTCACTGCCTCACAGAAGCTGCTTACTTCTTAGCCCGCGAAAACATCCGTTTCTCCACGTTCCTCGCCGCTGGGGACATTTCGGGAGGAGGAACGTCTGCGATAGCCTCCCACGCAGGCGTTTTTAGGGGAGCTCGTTTTTCATCCCTCCCCACAAGCGCCTGCTCAACCGAAAACAACATTCCTTTCCCATGCTTAGCCAATCACATTGTACTTTCCAAATTCTGGAAAGTTGACCTTCCCCGCAAGGTAATCTGATAGTTACTCGATCTGCATGAAACACTGGAAAAACTTTCTAACCTCCAAAAAATGTTAGATTCAGAGCGGCAAAAACAAGATTTAATCAAATTTTAGAATACTCCATGTACTTCATAACCTTAACGAAGGAAAGAAAAGAAGGAAAACGGTAACTTTAGGGTCACGTTTTAGTCGCGTTTAGCCTGTCAACACTTTATTGCACAACTGTTTATTGGTCTCTTACCACGCAAATAAAACAATGGGAAAGGAATGTTGTTTCCGGCTGAGCAGGCGTTTGTGGGGAGGGATGAAAAACGAGCTCCCCTAAAAACGCCTGCGTGGGAGGCTACGTCTGCGACTGAGCGACAGAAATTTCATACTGATGACGTAAAATCTCTCCGGAATCCGGTCAGAAGCCCTGATTGGTCTACGGAGTAGTTACATTGTTTTAGCTATTGTTTACGAATGACAGAAAAAAGACAAAAGGCCACAAAGGTCAAATGTAAACGCGACGAATCTCTAACAAAACAGTCAATATTTGTGGAATTTAGTCTTCTCTAGAAAAAGCATTTGAGTTTTGCTGAAGCTCGGTCGTAGATGAAGACAACACTTTACCAAAATCGACCAGGAGAAACGTAAAATCGAACAAATTGGCATTTGGAACCCCATGACTACCGGATTTATTTTTTAAACATTGATTTAGGTCATCAGTATGGAATTTCTGTCGCTGAGTCGCAGTTTTTCCTTCGCGCGAAACGTGCCGAGCGGCGAAGAGCAAGGAGAAACGGATCTTTTCGCAGGCTACTTAAACGTCTGCTCCCAAAGCAGCTGTTGTAAAGAGTTTGGACTATTATTCAACATCCAGCAAAATCAAGGCTTCTGATATTTGTGATGGCCAAAATTTTCGTATTTGATTTCAAATCGCATGTGATCACATACCGAGCTCGAGTTCGATTTGAAATCACAAGTAAGTGTATGATTTCAGACCCAAATTGCACGACACGAAATTCAATTACCATTTTATTACAGTCATATTTAGTCAGTACCAATATTTTATTGATCAATTAGCCGGTTTGTCGAAAAGCGGAAACAAAAAGGCTTTTATATCGCATTTTGTATTTGAAACAGAAATGATGCGATATAGAGCAAAATGATACGATGTAGAACATGACTAACGAGATTTGGGACAGATGTAATTTAGAGCAAAAATAGTGTGATTCGTGAATAAATCACACTGCTGAGAGCCAATCAGATTGCAGGGATCACCAGTGACCACTTCGAAAAATACCATAATATTCTCAAATTGTTGGCACTTTGAAAATATTGTGGTATTTTGCGAAGTGGCCTGTGTGGTTACACTGTTTGTGTTTTAGCTTGAATCCCCCTCTCAGGATTTTCACCGGTAGTTTTTTTTTTTTTTCGTTTTTGTTTTTATCTACACACATGTGTGCCTTGTAATATCAGTAATATACTAATACTAGAGGTCATCATTGATTATGTATCCGCGTTGTTCTTTTACGGAAACGAAATCGAGTCGAAAGGAGTCCAGTTTCCCTGCCGAGATGCCCGTGAAAGAATCAGTAGGGGTGGCTAATCGGCAGTCGCCCCCGATACCTCGAAAATTTGTGGCTTTGTACCACAGGAACACCAAGACTAGGGTGCGCTCTGACGAACGCGATTATTGTCGCATGTCATTGATTACAGCACCTGATATGTTAATCTGCCAACTAGAAAATTGTCTCTCTGAATGCAAAATGAAGTGAGGTTGCCAAAGGGAAACTCAACAGGCTTTACACCGTAATGCCGCTTTCTCATTTGTCATATATGCGCTTTGTGTTTAAGTTGTGCCTGTCTTTGTTTAACGTCATATTTAGGTGCTGTTATTGCTGCTGATTGGTTTACGTCTGGAAAGCAGGTTGTTACGGCTTCTTGGGACAGGACAGCAAAACTTTGGGATGTTGAAACAGCAGAACAAGTTCATCAGTTAACTGGTATTCATAGGGATTTATTTCGATGGTCATGTGTGTCTTTTTTTCCTTTGCACTTTTTCCTTTTTAAGTTCTATACACTGGAAGTTAAAGCGTTTTCGTGAAAGTATTAATTGTTCAATTTTAGATTCATAATTGGCTTCGAGGCTAACTCCCCAATCCTCGAAACCAAGCATGATTTTTAACATATCGAAGTTGTTCTATTGGTCGAATTCAAAGTTCGAACAATCTTGAAAATGTACTGAATTTTAGTAGTTGTCTTGGAAAGTCGTTGAATTCGGTTAAGGTACTTGAAAAGTACTTGATTTCTTTATTAGGTCTTGAAAAATCCTTGAAATTCACTACCTTGTCTAAAAACATTTTTGTACATGAGCGGTATCTTACCTCTGTTTCTTTATTTTAACTGCTGTTTCTGTACCTCAGGTGCTATTGCAAGTCATATTCAGTCAGTTTTCAAAGCGTTGTTGCGGGAAGTAGTATAAAATAGGGTGATCAACCATGGCTGAAGAAGTAAAAATCGTAAATGACTCCAATAAGGTGTTCAAGAGGGGGTTAAAGATTAGAATGCCGATTTATTTAATAAATCGTAGTCCTTGAAAGCTGTTATTTGTCCTGGAAAAATCCTTGAAGAGTCCTCGAAAGTTGTTTGTCCGAAGTTTTACGAACCATGGAATTGGAATTGCGATAGTTTGGAAGAACACTGATTGAAGGTCCCCGACCATTGCTTAAGTCCGGCGGTTTGTTTTACATTGCAGGGCATGACCAGGAACTGACACACACCTGTACCCACCCCTCTCAGCAACTTATTGTCACGTCCTCCACTGACACAACCTTCCGTCTGTGGGACTTCAGAACACCGTCCATACACTCAGTCAATGTGTTTCAGGGACATTCCGAGTAAGGCATTCCTATAACACTTAGCAGACTTACCAGAACTGATTCATTATCCCGTTCAATGTTTGTGTACAGCTTGTGAGCAGTTTCGTCAGAAGAAGGAAGTTGTTCAGTTTATCACTCATTAATTTCAACGTTGCCCATCCCCCTCCCCCGGGTATTTGGCGCACAATTGTGTAGTGTTGTGTTTCCACTGTGGCGCATTTGCACCCATATAATGTCCGCCCGGGGTTGGGGAATTTATTTCTAGGTGTACCCCCCCTCCTTGGGAAATACAGGAAATTTGCGTCCTGTGCATGATTGTGAACCGTTTCAAATTCCAGTGAGAATGCACGAGTTCGTGTGAAAAGTAGATTTCAACAGCTTCTAGAATTTTCGTATTACACTTCAAAGTTACAATTACACGTTATGTAGTAAACTTACATGCTTTGTTTGTTTGTTTGTTTTGTTTTATGTCTACAGCACAGTGAGGTCGACCGCCTTCACAACAAAAGATATTGTTGTCAGTGGAAGTGATGACAGAACTGTCAAGGTATGATTTACATTTTTGCAATTCTTTATTACAGAAATCGCCACCATGGAAGATTCTTCAAGAGAATGAGATAGTTGTAGATATTGCTGTTTATTATTTATTTTAGTTAATTTTTTTTCTTTTAATTAGTCTACCGATACAAGCAGTCTCTCTCTTTTTTCTTAGTCCGTCGAGCGGCAACCATCCGCTCGAGAAACGGAGAGATACCGCGTTTCTCGCGTCTCGCGGCTTCGCCGCTCCCGCTCCCGCTCCCATGGGCTTCCCTCACTTAATCAGAAGAGAGAGATTTGCTCGCGGTTTTCCTTTTAACTTTTGTTTCAAAAAATAATTCATCAGCAAAATACCCTAAAACACAGGAAAAACAATGATTAATCGAAATGGAAAATTAATTTCAACATGGACACTAGACAAGTAAAGAAGTATGAGAATGTTCGCCTGTTTCCACGGAGCGTTTTTCGTCGCCAGCGTAGCAGGCCCATGAGAGTATTATGGGCCCCAGAAAGAACGAGGTGCGGGAGAGACTCGCGAGGTAAGAGGAAGCTCTCTCTCGCCCCTCACGTTTCTCCATTCGCGCCCCGTTTTCTTGCGCCTTCTATGCAGGCCAAGTTTTTTTGTTCCGCTCATACTTTTAAAAAAGACCTCGTGCGGTATAAGGTGCCTATATTTTGAAAGTACAATACACTCGTTCATTCTTAGCAAGTCACAACATGTACAACGCTTTGAGAATTTCATACACATGAGATTCAAATGGCATCGATTGAGAGAGAAATTTTCCATTTAAACCGGTTTACACTCACAATTTATTTTGCATTTTCCAGCCCAAGTCTTGGTGCAGGTGTAAATTGCTGGTGTTTTCTAGTCGATTCTACTGCGATTTTCCAAAAGTTATTCGAAATTTTTAAGACCCTCCGGCGAAAAACTTCTCTTTTCTTATAGTTTATGCCAAGGGCCTGTTTACATGGAGGTGGAAGTAACCCACTGAGATGGGGTAACCCGCCTGTCCATATAATCTTCCATTTGAATTTGATCCCGTTTACATGAAAGGTGGGGAGACCATATGAGAGATTGTATGGACAGGCGGGTTACCCCAACTAAGCGCGTTACCTCACCTTGCTGGGGTCACCCACCTCCAGGTAAACTGCAGGCCCTAAATTTCATCGCAAACTCAAGCCAGACGAAATTGTGAAAAAATGTGTTGTGGAAATCGGCGTTGATACTTTAACATGTATTTGTTTACAGGTGTGGGATCTAAAGAACATGCGTTCTCCTTTAACAACAATCAACACAGATTCTTCCGTTAACAGGTAACAATAAGAACTAGTTAGTTTTACGGCTGTTGAAGTTGACATTTCGCTCGAAAATGTTGTGGGTACTCAGAGAAATAACAGAAGACAAAGGCAAACTAATGAACCAATTAGAATTCAAAGCGAACACATGTGACCGGTTTGCAAGCGCGGGAAAAAATGTGTCACCGGCCATATTGGCTTTAAACTTTAGTTTGGATTGGTTGAAATCATAGGAGCATAAGCATAATAAGCATATCAATAAAAATCGATTGTATTCGAAAAATTTTTGAAAAATACACGGCTCTTATGCCAAAGAGATTAAGGCTCTGTCCAACCGTATATCCGCTTTTAAAACATACGATAGCATCTAGGAGTTTATGATGAATGCCTTCATCGTATTCGAAACCTCCGTTTTCTTAGACTCACACGTAAACTTGAAGCTGTCGTTATTAAGAATCTTCACCCTGGGAACCGTTGAAAATGAAAACTTGCGTTTTTGGTTCCTGAAATGGAAATGGAGAAAAGAATCTCTGTTTTCAAAATTATTGGTCCGGTTATTTGTAAAGAGGCCTAAGTGACTTGGTCACTTTTCACTTTTGTACATCTACTAATCAAATGGCAGTATAAATGCTATAACGCTGAAAAGAAAGTACGCTTGGACACTGAGACAAGAAAAAAACCTTTCAATACCTCTCCCATGAATCCTTCCCGTAATAAAAAGAATGCTTTTGTGTTGACAGACTCTCAGTTTCTCCTGTGAATAATCTAATCGCTCTTCCTCACGACAATCGTCACATTCGCCTCTTTGACATCAGTGGGGTAAGACTAGCACGGCTGCCTCGCCGAAATGGTCAGGTGAGTTCTCTTACAATGCTTCATGTGTATTTGCTTTAAAAATGTGAACCTGCTTTCGGGGGGGTACTCAATGATTTGTTATACGGGGAGGCTCCGACCCGAGGTTCAACCCCTTACCCGTTTATAGACCATTTTTGGCAGAAAAGAGACCCCGTTCGTATAGCTTCTGTTAAAAGATGGTATACCTTTAATTAACATACCTAGTTTAGAACTTTGCATCCCTTCTTGAAGCTATAAATGGACCGGCAAAGTGTTGAATAGTTGAATATGGAAAGATCACAAAACCAGGATGTTTTCTTGTCTCTTTTACATTATTTTATAAAATGCGTCTGTTCGCTCCTTTTTGTCCTTTTTAGGGTTGATTTCCACTGTCGCGTAATTTTTCCGTACGAACGCACGTAATAGTAAGCGCGTAAATGAAATAGAGGCAATGTATGAAAGGCGACGCGGAAATGTGAAAGTTGAGCGAGGTTCAACTTTTACGTTTACGCGTGACCTTCCATACATTGTCCCTATTTTATTAACGCGCGTAAAAATTACGTGCGTAAGCACGTAAAAATTACGCGACAGTGGAAACCTTTATCTGAAGCCTGAAGCTGCTGATTACCCCTTTCGGATGGAGCCTCTTCGCACGGGCCATACAAGGGAGTACCCCTCGGGACCTGCTTAATTTTCATGACAGGAGTCATTTGTAGATAATTGGGCTAAGTTACTCAAAAAGCTCATATCTGGTTGAAATCATACACTTACATAGCTTTTTCCTTTCGAAAATGAATTTTTTCCCCTGACTGATTTTCGTCATTCTTGGGGATAAAGGAGTTGAAAATCGAATCGACCCTTCCTAAGATCACTTAAAGTATAGATTCCAGTTTTCTGTGTCAGCTCAGTTATAGGAGTTCTCCCCTCCTGCTTCCCTTCGAAGTCTCAATCCAGTTTTCTCAACTCGCGTGGTAACGCTTGCTACGCAGGCTAAGAAGGCATCAAAGTATAGTAAAGGTGATGTTACACGAGACGATTCGCAACGACGATTTTTAGCGCAACACCGCGTTGCATCATTGTTGCGACATCTTTTCTAATGGTTGCAACATTGTTCCAACATTGAGCGCTGTGTTGCGCTACAAATCGTCGTTGCGAATCGTTCCGTGTAACATCACCTTAAAACAAAAAGGAGGTGACGAGGTAGGCTCTGACGTGCTATTAAAATTCTTGACGTCATCCGCGATCTCGGTTTCGTCTTTTTCTTACTTGTAAACAGTTACTATCCGAGGTCTTTTCTTAATCAATCCGGAATAATGTACCCTGCGAGCAGGGGTTTCTCTCTGGCATTGCTTCTAGCATTTACGAAGTCGTTCGCGTTGCTTGTTAGTCGCCTAGTTGGTTTGTTTACGCCCAGAGTCAACGCGAACGACTTTGTAAAAAAATATAAGCCATGCCAGAAAGAAACTTCTGATGGCTGGGAAGAATAATCTCACGAATACTTTCAAAACTACTGCTATGTTAGGTAAAAAAAGAACTTCCCTATAAAGTGGAAATAATATACTTCAAAATAGGCTTATTATTCGATATATTATATAACGTAGCTAGGATCTTCGCCTAATCAAATTCAATAGTGCGAACGTGCGTCATTTCCCTATTGTGCACGCTGATGACGTAAATCAAACAGCACGTTCCTTTTTTCTTTTATCTAAGATAATTTTGCAGATTAAAATCAGATAGTACAAGTCAATTTTCGTACATGAGTTCACCTGTCAGTTTTTCTTACCAATTCTTCTTTGAAGAATGTCGAAGGTTTTTTTCTCAAACAAAAATGAGCAGCGCATTGAAGCATAACAAAGTGAATTTTTCTTAGTGTTGATTATGTCATAAGACATTTGGTTCATTCTTCAGCTGTACGTGTATATGGAAGTTTGGAAAGCTGGAATAGAGAGGAGAATGGTGACGTCACGTTACCATGGTAGCAAAAATTCTGGATCACAACAATAAAGAGCTTAAGCAAGCTAGGACGACGGCGACAACAACCGGAACGGCAAAAAAAACGATAGGTTTATATTAGCAAAACAACAACTTTGCACTTGCATCACGCTTTTTTTTTCTTCCGACATTGGACTTCCTAATTTCACGCGCCCGCTCTATGAGTTGGTGAACACAGCACAAAAATTTTCTTTTTCAGTTTCTCTAAACTCAGATACGGTACTTTCGGATTCAACCCCAGATGAGTGCGCCAACATGTAACAAATTAAATGAAGCTGAATAAGATCGATGAAGTTTGCAACAGTGCGAAGTCATGTTTTTGGTTTGTTGTCATCCGAAAATTTTGCTACCATGGCAACGTGAGTTCTTGTCTACGTTTCCAGCATCTTACGCGCTAGTTTCCTGCTGTCCAAACTTCCCGCGTGCTTTATATGTCGATACACTCGCCCCTTGCAAAGGAAACCGGATTTCCGGAAATTTCAGGAATCCGGGGCTCTAGAATCCGGAATACAGCTCAAGGGATCCGGAATCCTACTAACGATCGGAATCGGGAATCCAAGTTCCACTTACAAAGAACCCGGATTCGGTGCCTGAAAATCCGGAATCCACTGCGTGGAGTCCAGAATCCAAGATTGCCTTGGATTTCCTTGCATGGGGCGAATACACTCACACTGATGCACGAACAAATTGTTTGGTATAAAAGTTCATAAATTCTGTACAAGGTAGGAAACCATGTTGGCGAACATATTGCTGAAATCTTCCGGATTTTATTATTTTAAGGGCCATCAACGGATGGTGTGTTCCACAGCCTGGGGAGAGGAGACAAATGCCAAAGCTTCTTGTAATTTATTTTCGTGTGGATTTGACAGACGAGTGTTAGGTTGGCAAGTCAGAGAAGAGAAGGACAAGTAATAGGTCTGCAGATCTACTTTCGCCTTTGGTGGACGGTCTTTGTTTGTGGGATTCTTACATTTTTTCTCGTGAGCATAAATGAAACGATGAAACTAGCCAGACTGCTCTGGAACAAAGTTTGAAATTACTTAGATCTCTTAGTAATTGTACAGTGTAATTTATAATAAATAAATAATCGCCTGGTTAAGGGTGTTTTTGCTCACCCTGTTTAAGGGTGGTTATTGCTCACGTGAATAGCCCATTTCCGAGTTCCAACGGGCCTCTGCATCAAAACGAGGTTAAGTGCTCAGCCTTTGATATGGAAATGATTTTTCATTCTCATCCAAATAGAACTTATTTTCACAAGAAAAGGTTGTGCACTTGGCCTCATTTTGAAAGTGTGGGTTTATGGAACTCGGAAGTGGCAGGGTTAAGAGGTGTGATTCAACCTCGTTCCCAGGCTCCTTTCCTACCCGTCCCCACGGCCGGAGAGAGACGGGTAGGAGAGTGAACTTGGGAACGAGGTTGGGTGTAATTAAGGTGTATTTTGTTAATTTCATATTTATTGTCACGTAGAATAAAAGAAAGACAGGAAATAAAATAAAATAGGAAATGTAAAATTACCATAAAGTGAAATAGCTTGAAGTTATATTTTGTGTGCACCAAGTCATTTTTCTTCAAGGCCTAAGACCCATTACAACGTTCTGTCATGTTCTGTACCTAAAACGGCATAACAATTTCGGTAATAGAATGTTGACCAATCGCTGTCCGGGTTGCAACCTCTTGCAAAGCGCTACTGATAAAATATTTGGAAAACGCTCGTCAAAAATGTTCTTAAGGGACATCGCTTCACGCGGGCGGCCAGTTAATTCGCCTTCTTATAAGTTCGCTGCATTTCTTTTGAAATCATTTCAAATGCGGGCGATGGATCAAAGTAACTGTTGCATGGCTCGTGCAGTGATTGTTCCTTTTTAAGATTATCTTGCGGAAAAAATGTAATATACCAAAATTTTCTTTGTGTATAGCAAAAATAAAGGCAAAAGTAAAATGTAAATGCTCCTGCTAGTCATTTAAATTTCTAAATCTTTAATTTGTTTTAAATTTGTTAGTGATTTAAGTCATTCATTTCAGTTACTTTATTAATCTCGTAAGACGGTGCAGTGTAGGCTCGTTCTTTAGTTGCGTGTGTCACGATACGCCTGCGATTCTACCTGTCTCACGGCTGAGCGCGAAGACATCGGGAGAACTGCGGATGCATTGAGATACCCATGAGAGCGCAGATGAAGGTTGCCCCTTAAAGTGTTGGGCGCTTTTCATGTGTATTGATCAGCATCTTTTCTTTTTGTCGAGATTTCCACTCAAGTGAGCTGCTATCAACCCGGACGGTCTTGCGAACGGAGAAATCTTCAAAACTTTTGTGATGACATTGCACCGTACTTATGAAGGCTTGTTCTCGAAAAATAAACTGAAATAAACTGATTTTTTTTTTGGTTACCTGGACAATCCCCTCAAAGAGACGGGTTGCAGTACCGCGGCAGTTGCTAGGGGGCGAAGTACAAAAAATATATTCGCGCAAGGAAAAATTAAATGAAAAAATATTCATGCTACTGCCTAAAAAAAATTCATACATGGAATTTGATAACGAAAAAAAATTCCTTGGGCTCGAAAATTCCCCACCCCCCTCCCATAACTTTTCTAATGGTCCGTCCCTTATCTAATAAATGACAAACAAATGACTAATTGTTATTAATTAGGTAATCCCCTTTAAATGAGCTGACCAATTAGATGAGGCAATATTTAATTGACTCTTCCCTTTGCTGTATTGCCGCATTTGTCAGGTTATCATCTAATAAATGACAAACAAATGACTGATTATTTCTTAATTAATTAGGTAATCCCCTAAAAATGAGCGGACCAATTAGATAAGGCAAAATTTAATTGACTCTTTCCTTTGCCGTATTGCCGCATTTGCCAGCTTATCATCTAATAAATGACAAACAAATAACAAATTATTTAGTAATTAATGATGTAATCCCCCTGAAGAAGTGGACCAATTAGATGAGGCAAAATTTAATTGATTCTCGCCTTTTCTTTGTAGTATCACAGCAGTTGCCAGGTTACCATCTAATAAATAACAAACAAGTAACTGATTAGTAATTAATTACTTACTAGATAATCCCCTGAAAAATGACTAGACTAATTAGACATTTTAAAGAGAAAAATTAATTGGCCAATCATGGATGCCCTTGCAATAAGAGGCGTTTATTTAAAGGGATAATCTTTGATTTTTTGGATAGATGGTTTCTAACTTCCAATCTGAGCTCCATTTTACATCGAGAACAGACATATTTTCAATTACTTATCCGATATGCAAAAGCCCGTGGATTCGTATAGCGAAGAAAATGATATTCAGAGTTCCTCCTTGAAAGAATACTATGGTCGGTTACCGGTGCAGGCCCAAATCCTTAACAGTAGAGTCACTGAGTCGGCTGAGGGCACTTTACGATTTTATTCCTTGATAAGGAATGAAATGGAAGCATGGTGTTACCAGCATGGAGGAAAATTTCGTGTGAGACGTCCAGGAATCTCATTTCAGCCAAAAATCAATTCAGATGTTTCTTGGAATAAAGCAAATGATGAATTTCAACATTTAAGCGGAGGGAACAACTACAGCGAAAGTGTCGTTTATTCGCCCCGAAAGGCAAGCAGTCCCGAATCGTTTCACCAGAACCCCTTCCGGCAAGAAACTGCTCCTTTTGACGACTGTCAGGAAAATGATCGCATGCGACGTCCTAGATTTTCATACCAACACAAAAACAGTTCAGAAAAAGCAAATGCTGCATCTCTGCAGTGCCAATGGAACGGGCAGGTCGGGGGCTCAGTGTATTCAACACAGCAGGAAAATAATCGGCGATATTCTTACCAATTGTCAGAATATTTTTGCGAGGAAGCAAGTGCTGCAGCTGACCAGTACCAAGCAGATGGTGGTATGAGACAGCCAAGAAATCCAAACGCACTGAAAAGTCCCTTGAGAACTTTTGATCAGGAAGCAAATTCGCTGTCCCGACATCACTCGGCAAATTGCTGGGCGAGTAGATCTTCACATCGACAGATGAGCAGTTTTGAAGATTATGACGAGGAAAAGAATAGACGAGGAAACCTGCTTCAGCAAAACAAGCCAAAAAGGGAACATAAAACAAGATTTTCCGGAAATTCACATCGCCAAGCGAATGCGTTTAAATATTCATACAATCTCCACCAAGGGCAGCAAGAAATAGATGACAAAGGAAAGAATCGGATCAGAAGAAAGATTACAAAAACACTAACGAGAAACAAGCGGCAAAATGAGATGGAGCCATCAATATTGGGCATGGAATGGAACAACATGAACGCAATACTATCAGCAGTATCGCTCAGCAGCACTGTTCAAGCATACTCTGCTCAGGGTTCTGTAGCGATCCGTCGATGTGGCCGACAAGAAGTTGGTGAAAAAAAGAACCACTACCTTGCAAAACGAAAAGAAATCTGTCATGAAACGGACGAAATCAAGAAACATCGAGTATTTCTCCGAGTCTTAGCTAAACGATTTTAAGCTCGCAATAACTACATGTATTTGGCACATTACATTGTTCCAATTCAGTACGCAATCGACAAGGAAATTGAAAATCTTCCGAGTTCGTGCATTAGATCTGAGAGCTTAGAGTTCAAAGACAACTTTTTTCCCTTGACAGATATATTAGCAGAGAAACGTTTTCAATTTATTTTTTATTTTTTCTTGAGAGAAACCTTTAGCATAGCATAACCGAGTAAGGAAGCAGAGACTGGCAGTTTTCGCCGAGGCCAAATTTTGCTCATCCGCATGCTCCGAAAATAAAAATGAATCTTAGAAGAAATGCAAAAAGACATCGAAACTCTTATTTCTAGCAATTTTCATTCAGGAATAAGTGCAGTTGAAAGCTGGCAACAATTCTTTTCTTCAACCTTCAAGTTACTGTTGCTCGTATCTTTATTTTATCATTAATATAGAATTATTATTCATTCAAAAGTTCTTTCCGTTTCTGATTGGCTGCAATCCCCCGGCTAATTCTTTATAACCAACTGGCGCTTATCATATTTGGAAGAAGCGAGCAATATGCCATCGATTCGTTGGCATATTTGAATGGAAACGAGGTTGCTTGCCCAATAATGAACTTAAAAAAATGGCGTTCAGGGCTATCCGAAGACGCAGAGTTTCTGACTTAAATTAGGAAAAAATTCAAGAATACGCAAAAAATATTGCTTGATGGATGTTATCTACATTTCAAGGAGTATCGGCAAGATAAAACATCGATTTGTTTATATCCTGAAACCGGGCCGTGAAATAGGCCAAAGTTTTGAAGAAAGTCTACGAGGCGGTAAGCAGAAATTATTTGAATGAATAATAAAAAGGTTATTAAATTTGTCTCAGTCTCATATGATGTGAAGAATTATGTAGATCTCGGAGGATGTTATCCACCGAGGCTGAATAACATCCTCAGTCCTCGATCTGCGTAGTTCTTCACATTATACGAGAGACGAATTCAATAGTTGCTAATTGTATCATATCGCAAACGACGTAAATTGCTTTCATTTTTTAAATTAATGATTGCAAAATTAAGGTGAAAAGAAAATTCGTTTTACACGGAGAAAGGATTATTAGAATTTTGACCTACATCGCAGTGCCCCAGGGAATGAGGTTTCGAAGCAATTTTTATAAATATACCATATTTTAAGTGTTCTCTGGCTTTAATTCTTGTAGTTTATGTTATTTCTTGTAAATACTGGTACGTATTTTAATCACCTGTATGATAATAAATGATTTCAAGACTTCAAAATTTACATGGAAATGGGTGTTCTGAGCTATTTACAAAAGGGGCTGTGACTGGTTTCACAAAATATTAGACGAGATCCCTAAACGGCAGGTTATAGGGATCGACGTGTAGAAGACTAGGCGCAATTTCCGCTGTTCGAGGGATTCCGGTTTGCATCCTATCCAATCTGGT